TTGCACATAAGCTGATCTATACTGAAATATTCCGATAGAGGCAATTTCACCGAAAGAAATCCACGCTCAAATCTGATTTATTCACACTTTTGCGTAGCATTTTTTTCTTCCTTTTGTTTCACTGAATTGTCCTCGAATACAATAAAATTTATTGTTATCGGCCTCATATGATACAACTTTTAGATGTGCACCGAAACATACATTTCCATCAATTACCCTTAAAACGCGTCAAAAAAATACACATATGAAATAAATCATATTTTTGAAAATGAAATATTTTGATAAACGACTATTGACCTATCTGTCATATTCAGAAGACCTTGAAGAACGCAATAGTAAACATACCATTGTGAAATTTATATTGAAATTCATGTATACAAACTGTATGAAATACGCGCTGAAAGGATTGGAAGTTGAAATGAAACTATCAGAGCGTCGGAAAGCGAAAAGTTTTAAAGAAATTTATTTGGGGTTCTCATTACTCGTTAAACGCAAGACACAGAAAGATTGCGGAAGTTTCTCCGGAGGCCAGATTGGAGGACAAATCAAATGAAAAACATTTAAGATTCACAAACGAAGCAGCTACACGTTGAAGTTTTGATAGAGTTTGTTAAGTTTAACATACTTACACGTCTCTAATACGAAACCCAATGCCTTGTCCATCCACTATGTTTACGCTTACGTTTAGCAAATAATTTAGTTCACGTCTATACTAACCGTGCTGGTTTAAACTAACTTTATTTATTTTGCATATTCTAATGAAAGTAGCAAAACTATTTTAACCGGTAAAAGGGAATCGAGACGTACTGACTAATTTGAAGTAAGGCGGAAATCTATTATTTAATCGAATTGACAATTCTACCACTTTCTTTAGAACCTAATATATTATCTCATCTGTCAGGAAGAAATACGGTTTGCTCTAGCTTTAATGTTTCTGCACTAAACAGATGGCTAGTTCGTATTAGGATAAATTTGAGAATATCAATCAAAAAGAATTATTTCCTTTGATAGCAGGTACATTACGGTACTTTTAAATTTACTCGAAGTGACATTTGGATAATTATATTTTTCAAATATAAAATTATCTCATTAATTTTATATTCGTTGGATCACGTTGTGTAAAATTATTTCAATGTACCTTTCCCTCTCTAATTATAATTAATGTAACAATAAGTAATTTTATACACGCATAAATATCAATTAAAACATTTTGTTCGACTGTTAATACCCTATATATTCAAATGTCATGTCTAGTGGTGCAGCGTTTAGTTGATGTTGCAGACAAATTTTGAATTGTGTAGCTCCAGGACAGGGTTAATCATATCACCAGTAGAATTTAAATGAATTGATGGGAAGCATGCATGGAATTTTCTATTAGAAAAAATATGAAAAAATGGGTATTCGTAATTTAAGGAGCACGTTAAATTAACAGTTGTAATTAAAATGTTTGTATTAATACGGAACGGTAAAAAAGTCGGTCGAGTTGAGAAGGATCCGCGAATTCGGTCTTACGGACTTAATCTGAAGCAATTAAACGACACAAAGAAGAAGAAACCGGGACTTATCTCCAGTCCTAATGTAATTCATTCAATTTGTTAAGACGACGAAAATCTGACATCCATTTTCTCATTTTTTCTTCCTTATTAGTGAGTTAATGCACTACCTTTTGTGTGCTTTCAAGTGTAAAGCTACAGCTACACTTCACAATAGGGAAATAAATTTTAATTCGAGTTTTGCGTAATTGTAAACTTCCAACAGGACTTTGGAGTTTCTCACGAATGTACATACTAACGGCACTTCAAATATTTCGGTTTGATTATTATTGAAAATCCTAACATTTCGAACGAAAACTTGGATAAATGTAGCTTAATCGAGATCGCTTTCGGATATATTGTTGAAGAAAAACCCTCGGAAAGATCGGAGTAACGTCTATGATATCCCAACCTCTATACTCCTAATGACCAAATTCCTTCGCTATCCCATTGTCTCTACGAAATCTATTTTGTAAACTGTACTATTGAAAGACGATGGGCACACAGATATCCCTATTGATTCCGTTGATTAAGCGACATCATGATTTAAAGAACACTGCACTCCATCCGAATATAATCATCTTATTAGGTGACCCTATTACCTTTCTTAATAAGCAATCAATAATGACATTACAAAACTAAAGTTAAGAGGAATTTTACGAGCAACCTTTAATGTATTTGCTAGAAAGAACTTGCCCATAAAACAAATACGTGAGAGCATAACAATTGCGATTAAATTTTTCTTTATTTTGACTCGAACAGTATAAACTTTCAGTTTTACTTTTATCTTGTAATTAATGTAATTAAATGAAGCTTATAGGAATTTGAAAGCAAAACATACCAACGTATTAATTGCTATAGTTTAGTGTTCATTAAAATATACAGTGAATAATTTACTTTTCGTATTTTACTTTTGTACAATGACCCTGTAGGGCTGGTTTTTCAGTTATGAATTAAGCGTCATCTGTGTGCAAACGTATTATTCATATGTTATTGGCGAATATATGCGACTCTCAGATTTAAATTGATAGCTCTACGCCTAGCTAAAGCGCGGGATATAAAATATTTCGATATAGACGTTAAACAATGGGACGGGTGAAATATTGACGGCAGATTTTTACAATCCGCATATATTATATCTTCATTTTATGCATTTCGATATCGCATAGTTAGAGGAAATCCATCGTTTCGTGACAATAGTATGTCTATAACCTACTCCTCTGTTTCCGTGACGTATTTTTCCATTTACAGAAAAATGGGATTTTTAACTGATTATTGTAGAAAGAACCAAGTGGAAAAGTAGGTATAAAAATTATATACCACTATTATAGAAGCTGTTGACTCTATAGCCTGCAATGCAGCTTTTATATATTATTGTTGTAATTAACATTATCAAACAATATTAGCTGAGTAATAAAATAATTTGCAGTTTATTTATTGGCGTTAGTTGAAAATGGAATGTTTTCCCGTGCATTTGATGGTAAACTAATTATTTTTTCATTGGAAAATCCGGAAAGATGTAAAAAGTGTATTTCAAAGAAAACATCCCTTCACAAATTCCCCCTAAAAATATTTGAATATTTTTAAGACGAACAAGTGAAGAACCCTTGAAAACAATGTTTGCACTCTCATTTATGAAAATGTCAGTTTTCGTGTTTCTATTCCTATTTCAATTCTCCATTTTATTCGTAAAGGCGTTTTATCGTTTTCTTTGATAATTGAATTTTTTGCACTCACTAGGGTCCTGCCTGTAGTTAAGACCGCCACATGAATATAAAAACCCAAACACCAGTGAGGGCTTAATAAAATTACTCCTAATGCCTGTTTTCGAATTACAACCAATTTTTTGTGCCAAAAATAAAAAGGGCTATGAAGAATTAAACACAATAAACTACAGTGAATATGTTACTTAATATTCGTGAATAAATCAATGTTTGGATAAATATATCCTGTAATCACAATCAAGATATATTATTTATTTATTGTAGTAAATTTTTAGTTACTTCTTTGAGAAGGAACTTTAAGAAGTTTACCAATGGTCTAATATAAGACATTTTTTTATCATAATTTTGTGAAAATGCGCGATAAAAATGTGTTGACTTTCAGTTTCCGTGTAGAGATTTTTATCTATACGTGAGCAAACATAATTCCCGAATTTTATTCTTAACTGTGATTGCATGTTCATTATATTTCTCCTGTCGAAAATAATCTCAAGTGCTAAGGTCGTTCGTCTGAGATAGAATTCTGAATTTCCAGGCCCATAGCTGCCTCTATTACTTCCCGTTTTTGCGGAAATTGTTCCAGTGACAAATTTCCTATGTGTACGGGGTTTTTCAAATACTCAAAGTGAAAATAAGACACATGTCCGCGAAAAAACAAAAAAAAATTTTTTACCAATCTACGGCAGGAAGTTCGTTCCTTCAATTTTTCACTCCAACTGTTGCTCGATTTATACGACTGGAAATGGAATTTTTTTATCGGACTATTCCTAAGGTAGGCGATGCTTTTATTTGCTAAATGAACTTTATTTTTCGTGCATTAACAATTTAAGTAAGCCCTTTTGCCTATACTTTAGACTAATACATCTTTAATAGATTTTTTTATTGAAAATATTTTATGAAGCAATTTAAAGAAGGAAAATTGGATAGGAAATTATCGGTGAGTTTCCGATTTTTAATTAACACCTTTGACTTTGATAAATAAGTTTTTAGATATTTATTGGATTTAGTGGAGTATGAAGATTTATGAAGAATATTAATAGAGTTTTATTATTAATCTTTAATGAATAAACTTTAAAATCTTGGAAAGTTTTGAATGGGTTTTAGTTGAAGTGTTAAATATAGACAATGAGCTTCACTAGGATTATAATACTCCTGACAGCTTATTTTAAATAAACAAAAAAAAACTACGGAAACAATAATTTATTTGAATTGAGAAATTTTGCGTTAGAGTGAATCTACATAGAATATCGCAACTTGAGAACTAACCGTTTAACCCTTAAAATTCCTCGATCAGCATCGAATCTCTAATACATTTCAGCCCAAGGATGTTTCCCCAGTCTAATAGTCTCATCAGGTGGTTATCGAATGTGGGGGAAATTTAAACATGCGATTACTAAAAGCGAAAATTGTGTGAGTGCGCGAAGACGAGACAAGAAAGCATGTAGCAGGCATTTTCATTAGAAAAGGAGAAGGCACAAGGCACGGGGAACAGAACTGAGCCATATCCGCAACGTGTCAAAGGAAAATTATCACGCTGCAAGATACAATCATACGAAACCCCAACCGTTTTATGAGAAAATTATATCGACCAAGACGTTCTGCTAATTAATTAAATATAATTAATAGTTCAAATGAATATATTAAAAAATAGTTGTTTGGTAGTTTCTTTGTTTTGAAGTAGCAATGTTAAAAATGGCCACATGTTGAATAGAGGGAATGGCAAGAAGACCAACGAAATTCGACATACCTGCTTTGTTAGCGGTCGCACTGTGATTAATGGTGATTTTACCAGCGACTTCCAGTTTAGTGGGAACGGGCAACAGACCAGGAGTAGACATGGGGGTAGCGGTCATCGCGGGTGCGGGCATCATCAGCGTTGACATCGTCAACATGTTAAACGCTACGCAATTAACCAATGTACTGAACGATCAAGTCCAAAAACACATGGATACTGGACTCGAAATGGTGCAGAAAAAGTTTGGAGAAAGTTTTCCGCGGTGTCGCGTACTCGCTGGAGCTGTGGAGGCGGCGCAGGAACACTAGCCGCGCGGCCCGCAACTCGAAGACTGCAGAAAGCGCGTTTGTTTCATGCCGTCGTTGTTCGGGGGGCGGCAGGAGGCGGGGGACGAGGACGAAACGTTACAGTGGCCGAACGGCGGTAGACGAAATGCGGCAAAGGCCGGCTTCGGCGCTCTTCTACGCGCCACTTGTCTGCTCTAGCTTAATGTCGTGCGCGTCCCTATTCTATTAATTACTTTACTACCCTTCGTGCCATGGTACTGTACGTTTCTCTACTTACCTACCATACTCTACTACCCTACTACTCTATACTACTTTTCCTACAACTTTTTCCGCAACTTTTGTAATAATGGATAGAGCTAAACTATCACTAAACCTCTATCCCTGTCCTAAAAGTACTCGTTTGAATTAAAACTTTTGGTACTTGGTACATTCCAAGTAAATTTTATATGCATCGTATTTATGAATAATTCCTTCTTACGCTTACTTTACTACATTAACTTCTATACGAAGTTTAAAACACTCTGCACTTTTGTCGCTACTCAACGTAAAAATATGTTTTTGAAGGTGTTAATACGAAATATACGAGTCAAAAAGCTCTTTGATTCGAAGCGCAATTTCGAAATTAATAATAAATAATAAATTTTATATTAGTATACACGTATTTATTAAATAGGGCGGCAATCGTAAGTAAAATTGTAGACTTCAAAACGGCTTTTGTGTAATAAAAGAAGGAAATTGCCTTTTAATTTATCTCCATTTGTTCCCATCCAGGTATCTTCGTAGTTGATGCAAAATGAAAAGTGATTTAGTAGAGACAATTTTCAAACAAGGCGCCTTTACGTCGTAGGCGTCAAAGTGAAATTCGGAGCAAGTTTAGAATTCAAAATGTACGCTGAAAAAGTATCGTTAATCATTTCCAATGTACGGAACGGTCCTTATTTAAGAAGAAACATTCATCCGCATACACATGCAGACTTAGAATTTCAATCTGGAATAAAGAAGAAACGGGGCCGCCTGTTAAATGTATGAAACTTTTACAGTCGGCGGTCGGATCTATTGCACTGAATAGAAACAATATGGTACTACAGGAGAAAAGTGTGCTAAGATAATATAAATTGACGAGATCAGAAATCAATATGTTGCTATTAAATTGAGGATGATATAAAATTTGAGCAGGCTCTAAACAGGAAAATTTAAACAAAACAACTCGCTACAACATAAGTATTAGTATAAGGTAATCAATTTACCAGGGTTCTATATTATTTTTGTAAAAAATATTTGTTTCTTTTATGATGTTAGGTTTGCAGTGCAAAAGACATTCTCCCTTACAAATTAGAATATACCTACTACTCTTAGCCTCAATGTGAGTAAATCTGATGGTTTTAAACATAAATGTAAGTAGGTTAGCTGGATGCCAGACATCGAAATCTGCACAGATTTTGCAAATAAATCCAATTTAGACAAACTAAAAAATAAAAAGCGACTCTCATTCGCGGCCGTTACAAAACTGAAGACAACATTGATGCGCTGTGGTCCAAAATGTTTTCCCTTCGCACACAACTGTTGAGCGTTGATAAAAACAAAACACTAAACAATCGACTTATCGTGATTACGCGGGAATAAAATCGTGTTTAAATGAAATTAATAATTCCACATAGAATGTTAAACATAAACATAGCAGCAAAAACAAATCACAAAGAACAGAAAATATACAGACCATTGTTCAAAATGGTAAAAGCAGATAATCTACGTCCTTGTATTTCTCTTATTATTTATTAAGAGCTAGTTTAATCAACAGGTACCATTGCATGATATTCCTAAATAATCGATATTGTTTCCAACGAAAATTATTCCACGGTAGCGGCAAGAGTTAGCTCATGTCGTCGGAACACAGGCAATTTTTTTAATTGCGTTCAATTTCAATCTCTTAAAAAATGTATGATGTGTAGCATAATAAGCAACTCCTTTTAAAAGTAGTAAATTGAACGAATTGTATCAGTATTGAATGATTTCCGTCTATTTCTCAGAGAGAGCATGCAAAGAAAGGGAAAAGTATACAAAAAAGAGGGAAGACGTTAATAGGTCACATACTGGGAAAGTTCGGGTCTCCATCAAAGGAGTTGACATCAGCAAAGAAATAGGAGTAGATACGATATTTTCACTAATACTGTATATAAAGTTACATTTTCTTTTGACTATACACGGGAAGTAGGCGATAGAAAATCCCACTTAATGAATTAAATAAGAAATTATCAGAAAATTCGTTCATTAACGAAATATTTAATCGTTTCTATTCGAACGAAATTACCTATACATAGATACCTATATGCGGCTTTTTATAGGACGTCGGTATTGATGAAAAGTAATTAAAGATTCAAATGGAGATATAAAATCTAGTTAACCCAGTTACGAGTCGTCCGAAATCACCGTAATTTAAATTTAATATATCGTGTTGGGATTAATTAAGTGAATTGTAATACATAAATGTTGGATCATCATTTCCAGCAGTGTTCATTTTACAAAATTGTAGGTGTACCTATAAATATTTGTTATATAGTAAATGGCATGTCACCGATCTTTTGTAGAGTATGGACACTGACAAATTATATTCACCCGTACGCGTAATTTTTGCAGGAACGGGAGTCACTGGAATAAATTCATTAAAACTAACAGAATACAAATCTTCGTTAGAACTTTAAAACAAAGGATAACTGGTACATCTTTCTTATTTCATAAAGTTTTTCTATTAAAACCAGTAGGTTCCATTTTTCGTATTTTTTTAGTATTTATACTTTTACTATCGATTTTGCTCACTTTCCAAGAAATCATCCTATTATCCTTACTTCGGAATCACACTTAATTTGCATAATATCGCGGCCCAATTACAAAGCTTCGAGCGGCCTTAGAAATCTTGCAGAAACTTTAGGGCGCTCGTAAACCACAATATTGTAGACATTTTGCAAGGCCACAATATTTTCGGAAGCAAATATTGTCAACACATTTTGTGGTTCACACTGGAATTGCACGGAATTTCCTTATTATTACCAAAATGTTGGCGTCACAGAAGAGGTTGAGATAGTTTTACAACTAAATTAATTTAGATACAAAGGGGTTTTAAAGGAAAAATAGCTCGATATTATAAAATAAATGTAACAAAAGGCGTAAGAAAATTTGTAATTCGTTTTGCCAGTCACATTCCGCAGTTTAAAGTTGACACATTGCCATTGAGTTCAAGAAAGGGAGGTGAAATTGTTTTAGGAGATGGGTGTCGCCGTGTCAATTTTAAAGTTCTACACTTAGGCAGGTATATTGGTTTCGGTGTATTCATGATGACTGTCTTGAATGCTTTGAATAACCGTCAACAAAGGAAAAAAAACGGAATTTTCATTTTGTCTGACAAACAAGTTGGAAACATTGGAATACCAACATTACCCAATTGTTTCTTATTTTGGTTGCAAAACAGGTATTTAAATTAAATAAGTAATATACATATGTAGAAATTAAAAATAAAATTGTAGACTGGATGGTCACATTTCACAAAGACTTATACGTTGAAGTTTAATTAACCAGGTATAAAATAATTATAATTAAAACTGGCATTCCACGTAAAAGAATCGTTTAGATATAAATTCAATGTATTTCATGTTTTACCGTTTCAATTTACCATTAATTTTATCTTTTCGTTTCCATACAAATGTATGATCTCAATTAAAAGTGAATGCAAAAATCCACCGCCAATTTTTATGAGTATTTATAAAAAAGCAAATACGCAGCACAAATAGAATTTTTAAATCTGTTCAAACATTGATAAAATGTCCATCAGGAGTAATTTATTTTTTATCTAACAGGTTTGTTTAAAAATTAATTCGTTCGTTTACATTTTAAGGATAATACAATCGATTTAAATTAGTTATGTTCGAGTTTTTACACCGTAGTAATCTGAAAGGACCAAATTAATTATTAACCAATTTAGCAATATTTATGTAATATAAATAAAATAAATATAATGTTGTTTGTTTGCGATGAATAAACTAATTAGGATATCATTTAAAGGGTAAACAATAGCCGAATTAAAATAACAGTTCTTAAAAATCAATAAACGCACAACTAGAATTTAAATAATGTTTTATTTATAGTCATAATTAATAGGATAATACTTTATGAAATAAACAAAATTCCTTTCTCCTGGTCAAGTTGCTCGGAAAGTCTGAGTGGGCAAATTACTTTAGATGTTCTGCCATTAAAAGAATTAACCATTGTGCACCCTCATACTCCATTCCACTATATCTATGCTCCCAATCTTGACGTATACTTGTATTATTTGTACTATATTCCCGCGGCGATAACTTTATATTATGCGAATGTTAGTATAACTCTAGATTATTCTGTTATTTATCCTCAGGGTATAGTATTAAATTTTAGAATGGATAGTTTGACCAGAGATATATGAATTTCATACGGATGGTTTTCACAATCAAATTCTATACATTTATATTAAAACAACACAAACTCAGGCGAATAGATTGAAAATTAATGCTGAATTATTTTCCGGCTTATTGATAACTTTGAATCCTATTGAATATAAATTATACAAATTTAGTTTTTGGTTATGAATATTGTCAATTAATAATACATTTTTTGGCTTTTCTTAGTATAAGTAGACCCTATGTAAAATATCATTATGACAAACCAAAAGATAAACGCGGCGGTACAAATATTAGAAAAGAGTTTTACATAATCGATGCCGGTTGTCCAAAATATTTCCATACACGACTTCTTAGCACCCGATGGATTTTTGATCGACATGTTATCCACTATTACTATTTTTAAATGATCTTTCTCGTCTGTGTCCGAAAAACACGGCATTTTTACATGTACTGGGTCATCTTCTGAATCTGTTGATCCTTCGGGCGATTCGTTTTCATCTTTATCTGCAGTTATAGACGCCTTATCAGCATCAGCCGACACGGTTTTTACAACAACGTTGTATTCTTCGTGTACATTTTCACAGGGCTCGGTAATAGTTTCATTTTTTCTAACAATTTTGTTGAGTTCTTCATAGAAATTCTCCGGCAATAATTTTCTTTCACTGCACATACTCTCAGAGAAACTTTCAATACGACTGATTTTGGACAGCTGCTTGTAAACATCCTGTGAACAGTTTTTGTTGTCATCTAGTTCATAAAGATCGTCGGAGTTTATTTTAATTTCTTCAGCAGAACAAAAAGAATCCTGCGATTTTCGATCAAACTCTTCGGTTTTCACACAGCTATTTTCGTACTTTTGCTCTTCATTATTAGCGGATTTTTCTATGCAGATGTCGATTTCTGGAACCTCGACAGGAAAATCACTTGATATTTCAATTTGTTCGGAGTATTTTACACAATCCTGCCTAAGGGACATACTGACCGCACATAAAAAGGCAATGTAATGTAGCTTTATTAAAAGATATTGAGTAACTGATAATGCAACATGCTGCGAAAGCGCTATTAGTTGAAATTTTAATGCAGATCCGCATTCAAATAAATGCGTACATTCAATTAGCTTGTCTTTGTTTATAACTTTGTATTATGTTTGCTTATAGGCAGTAATGAAAAATCTTTTTAATATATAAGAAAATATATTGTTGCAATAATGTTGCGATTACGCAGGAAATGTAAAGTTTTCAGGAAAAGTTTGGAAAGAAAATGAAATGAATCCTGTTCTGAACTTGTATTTAAGATAATATTGTAACTCAGCAGAATTCTATCTTATATGTAAGTTGACTGCTGGTCAGGAACTAAACAAAAGGTTCTTATCAACTGTTTGGTCTATGAACCAGCTTAAATAATATGCACGTATGTAAACATTTATCAATATAGTTGGTTTATTTTTTTAATATTGTTTATGTGCTTTAATCAAATGCATAAAATATAATGAATGTAATATGTAATATTATATATCGGTATGACGAAAAATGTGCTATTTATAATATTGCAATTAGTTTGATTTCAACATTTAATACCTAATATCTGCGAAATAGAATTTACAATAAATGTTAAAAGACAATTCCAATAAGTAAATGCAACATTAAGTTTGGAAACAACTTCATCTTGGAGTTAAATTTGTGGAAATAAAGCGAACAATTTTCTTTTCAGTTGAGGGCTCAAATATTCTATATCCCAAGGGTAGTTCCAACTAGTAAAATAAGGAAATAATACCAGTAAAACTTGAAATACTTCGCCTTGGAATATTATCCACCACATTCAACATTACTATACCTTTATGGATGTAAATAAGACTATAACAGAACGCGGAAACTTATTTAATATAATTTTATATTAATGTTAATTCTTATGTTCTTTCGTAATTGGTTTCTGCAGCATTCACTATTTCATTGTGCTATACTGTTATTTAATTTATGGTTTAAAGAAAGAAAACAAAAGTTGCACAAAGTCTCAATTTACAGTTTAATAACGTTTTTGCTTAAGATTTACAACAGCTTTCCGTTTGTTCTTTCAATTGTCTAATTCTTAGCACTAATAAATAAGACCGATGGCATGAAGCGTTGGATAATTCTCAGAAAACAACATATATTGCATGGCGGCGTATAGTAGGTAGCATATAGTTACAAGGAAGGATCAACAGTTCCTGTAGAATAGGTACGTACAAGTTTATCAGGAAATATATGAGAGTAATTTTGAGTAGGAAAATGTACACCATAAGACACAATGTTGGTAATAATATCATTAATTTATAACAAATATTTTTTTTCAAAAATCAATTAATTGGATTAAATTTGCTCTATTTTCTGTGTAATATTAAAAATAAAGCCCGGTTTTAATGATTCAAATTTGTTTAAAATAATGAAACTGTATGTTGCCAGATTCCTACCTATTTTATTATGAATTATTTGTGCGAACTTTTGAATATAACTTCTACTACAATAAATGATTTTATTGTAGTAAAAGTTTGACTGTTCGGCTATAGCTATTACAATTGTTTTAAACTCGCTGAAATAATTTCGTGACTAATTCTGTGTTAATGTATTCCACATAATATCTTATGAGAATATTCATGGGTTTATAAATATTTTGAATAATTACTGACTTATTAAGTACATGCATAGCACTTGTCTGGCTATTACCTCCACACCGAATGGGGCAAATGTGTTTCTATTTAAGGGGTAATTCAACCTTGGTGATCACGACAGCAGTCTTGTTGTCATGCGTTTAATAAATATTACTACCACGTATACCTATAATAATTCATCAAAATTGTACATTTTAAAAATTACCTATCTACAGATTAGATTTTAATTAAGTGAGAATAAATTTGCTTAGATATACTTACAAAGATGAATAATTGTGCTGTCAGTCACATTGTCTGAATTTGGGGTAAATTGAAACATTGAATAAATATTTATTAACTGCTGCATTAACATGCTGTTAATAAATTAGTATAGGATTTAGGCAAATTTATTAATATTCATATAATGAATAACAAATTTTAAAGATGATTTAATAGCGTCAAATGGTATAAGAACTATTTGAATTTCCGAATAATGTACTACTACCTACGACTTGAAGAGAAATATCATCTTCACGGATGTATACGAAACAATATCCCCCGTGTATTTACATTCTATTAAATTACCTATATATTTGTTATTTCGTTACATTCTACTCCTACTGCATCGCCTCAGGTCGAAGTTCCTTACATACAGCGCTGACAGTTTAAATATTTAGAAATATAAAAGGAAAGTTTTATTCCTCCTTTATCTACCTATAGATGCAAAACAAACAACAATTCAGTTGTGTAGTTATATTCTAATTAAAGGGTGAAATACTGAAATATTTTTTTATCTACAAGTGCTCCAAATAAACTTGATTCATTTACAAACAAAATTGAGGTTTCATGTGCGACATTTACGAATTTACAACCCGAAATAATTGTTATAAAATAAGCATCAGCTTTGTTCTAATTTAACATAACGTCAAGTTTTAAAGTAAAGCGTTACTTGACACTTCGAAACTCCATATTTGCCAAACTTCAGATAAGCTAAATTGTTGGAAATGGCATATCAAATTTGAAGTTTCCAACAAAGTCTATCATCTTGTGTTGTTCACAAAAGTTCGCCTAAAAGATAACGATGGTGATGTCAGTTTTTAAATTTAAATTTAATATGAACTTTAGAACGAAACATTAAGCATTTATGCAGTGAAAGTCACGTGAAGTTCCTGCGAAAAAATAAACTCAATGAGTTATCCGAATTTTGATCGATAACGTTTAATTATAAAAAAAAATATAATGGATTCAAACGTCCAGGAAATGTGTACTCCTATATTCCGTTGGTGCGATAGAGCCATTAAACGCAATGGAAACCGGAAATTTCGAAATTACTTCGTGAATTAAATATAGTCACAATTTATGCTGCCCGATAAACGACACCACATCAGGGAGAGGTTTTTTCTCCGAATTAACCACCGTTTACACAACACGAACAATAAATATTCAGAAAAATTCGCAAATTTTAATACATGCTTTATTACCGCCACCTGAAGACCGGAAATTAATTTTTTAACTCACGAGGAAAACGGTATGGATTGTTGGTATTTTTAATATTAAATGTTTGATATCAATGAATAAATTTAATATAAAAAGTATAATATTTATAATGACCAAAAATAATTAGAATAACAGTTGATTACTATAATAATTCAGTAGGTTAATTTACATCGTAACATAACCAAATAAAGAATTATTTTTAAACAATGTCAAATTTCAGTTAAAATATATTGTACTAAACAAACACCAAAGAAAAATAATGTTTTGCTGCAATAAATGTTGTTGTTTATTTTCGCCTGCGGTTCATAAACACAATTAAAATTGTAGTTATTAATTTTTTCAGTAAAAATAATGTTTTCGTAAATTTATCAAATGCACGTTTATTTTAATATTACCTTACATGTGTGTTAACATCATCTCTCAAAAATGGAACAAAATATGTGATGGAACAAAATATTTTCTATAATGATACTCGTAGTTCAATAAAATAAATAACATGCTGTTTTATACCTGTAATTTAGTAATACTTTACAAATACGAAAATTACTTTCACGTTAATGATTCCTGTAATTATCAAAATATCATCATTTTGAAAATGAAAATATTAAGATATCAGAACGAATTCCAAAAGACAAAATTACATAATAGAATTCGAGGTATTTTGAACGAAAAGTTGATGTCCCATTCTTAGTTGGGTAGAATCTGTCTCGTTATTTGAAAATTCCAGAAGTTCAACGTACAACAATAAAATTTAAACTTTTACGACACTAATTATTTCCGCAAGCCGATGGAAAATAACTTTGTAAACCTAAGAGAATTGTTACTAAGTTTTTGAAATGTTAGATACGACACAATCCCTTATTGAATTACAGTGAGGCGAATTCAAATAAACATTTTGGAGGATTTAAGCACCAGCAATTAGAAATACGTATGTAATAATTAATCGAATCATTTTTAACATCCACCAAAAGCGCCGTAAGATTAAATTTCACCCCGGCAAGGCACATTTTGTAATTTACATAAAGATGGATAAATGGCAATATCCTTATTTAGTCAAAAGGCAAATATTGAGTATAATTAGAGTTTATGTTTCCTGGATAAACGTATTATTACCATGAAAATTTCTGTATATCTCTTAAATGGAATTCAAAGCCATTCAACTGCGATTATCTGTTTTTAGATGTGTGAACAGTGTCATGCGAGTCAGGACGGGGTTTAGGTGAACATTTGAACAAATTTTCTCTTAAACGATAATAAAATCGTGAAAATTAAAGCGAATTCGTTTGTAAATTGAGTAGAAAACAAACAAGCTTTCTCTACATATAATTTATTATTTATGCATATACGTATCATTTGATCCCTCATCCAAATAAATAATTAATCTCCACAACAGAGTAGGTAGGTCCTTTAAATCCTTTACATGTGGCTGGTGTACTTTGATGTGTGTAGAAGGAAGTTATGTCACATTATGAAGGATACTTTCGCACAGGGTTCGGTCCTGTTAGACGTACGCTCCCTCGTACAGAATGAACTATGCGTGAGTATTACATCTGCAGTGCTATTTGGTGTGCGTGTTCTTGAATCTCACGGGAAGCGTTTTACCCAGCGACATACTGATACCGAGCGACCTCGCCCTCACTTACCATATCCCTAATTTAAAATTTCATAATATAAATATTTTATAT